TCGGGCCCTTAGGCCTGCATACTCACAATGACTTCCACTCACGGGCATAATAGGTCACGAGCATTGCCACTACCATACGCTTGTGCACGTGGTCCATTCGGGCACACGTGGACGTGTGCATGCATAAGACGTGCGGGGTGGGCTGCATGCTCGGTGCTCATGCGAGTCGCCTCGTTCATGTGTGGACCTCCTTATCCACGCGTTGAAGAATTTGCTTGCCTCCAGTTTTCTACGGGCTATAAGTTTGCTTTGAATGGTTCATAATGGGACCTTGGAACACCAGTGGAGATGGGGGTCAAGTGTCCTGTATGTCCATTGTGACACATGTGTACCCTATGGGTACCCATACCTAGACTACATTCAGACTTTCTTCTTGGGCTGGGATTTTTATGCTTAGTCGTTCTTTAGCAGTAAGGCCCATTACCCTTCGAGTTTCTAGCACCTTCTAGTGTCGTTTCTTCCTAGGCCAGGATTTTTTTTTGTTATATTCAGCTTTGATGTTTGAGCTTGGAGTATTGTTACCTCACAATTGCTTTCTCTCGTTTCCTAGAAGCTCATCGATACTAGCCCGCTTCTTGCCTTTTACTAGTTTAGGCTTGCCTTCAACAAGTATCGTGTCAGGTCCTCTTACGTCTTTTCATACTAGATGAGGGAGAAACAGAATCCCTAAAAGATAAAAATCCTAACATATCATATTAATTTAAATGCCATGTTTACATATTCAATGTTCATTTCACATGTTTGTCAATTAATATCATGCTTCTTACATAAATATCGCAACATACCATTTCTTATCATATCATCATAATCATATCATTTGTTCATTTATTTTCAAGCATTAGTATGTTATTAATCATGCAAATATTATAGAATTGATACACATGTATTTTTAAATTTTAACAAGACTAAGCATGCATCATGCCATTTCACATTCATACCAGATTTTCTTTGTTAATCTAAAAATACTACTTAGAATGTATGAATAAATACCAAATTTTCTTTACTGTAATTTGGTAATTTTCTTACGTTCCTTTTTCTTCTTTCCTTTCATTCTCTCTCTCTAGCTCTCTCTTTCTCTATAATATATTTTAGTGAGTGAACAATGAAGAAGAAGTGGTGAGGAAATGGTGGGGAGGGGATCCATATTTATAGGAAAATTAGACCGTTCCATTTTTACCAAGTGGCAAAAATCCATGAGGAGAGAGGGAGGAAAACAATTGATCGATGCAATGTGATGACTGAGGACATGACTGATGGACAGTTGACAAGATGATGATGACATAACGACAGCACAAAAGCAAATGGCACGCCAGCCAAGGGACAGCACACACCTCCCAAATGACGACGGCACGCTGACCAAACTGCAGTGCATGCCCCCCAAGGGGCCGTGCCAACTGCCCAAGGGTAGCGCACTCAAGCTTGTGTAGATTACATGCCTCGCACCCCACGTGGACAGGGCATGCACATGTGTGCACGACACGCGGGACTCGCGCAAGCAGGGAAAAAATTTCCTATGACTTCTCTCCAGGATTTTTTACTATTTTTTTGCGTTTTCCTAAAATTCATAAAAATTAACAAATAAAATCAAAGTATTATGAAATTAAAATAATTTTAAATGGACTCAAAATTATATAAAATTAAACATAAATTAAACAGTTAACGGCCTTAAGATTAGAATAAATCGAGGTTTTACACAATATTTTTAAGCACAAAGGATTATGGGGTGTTACTGATGTAATGTGACAATATATAAACCTACTGAACATTAAAAAGCTCTTTAAGACCTGAAGTGGAAAAAGCAATGGTTGAGGAGATATAAATGATCCAAAATAACAAAACATGGGAATTAGTTGAAAGACCCAAAGGTAGAAAAGTCATTGAAGTGAAATGAGTGTACAGAACAAAGCTTAATGAAGATTGCTCCATCAATAAGTAGAAAGCCAAGCTTATTGTTAAAGGTTATGTTCAAATTTTTAGTGTTGATTACTCTGACACTTTTACTCCTATTACTATATTAGATACAATCAGATTATTGCTACCCATAACAACGTGAAAAGGTTAGAAAGTGCTCTAGTTAGATGTCAAATATGCTTTTTTAAATGGTTTTTTATAAGAAGAAATATATATAGAGCAATCATATGGATTTGTGGTGCAAGATGAAGAAGATAAAGTCTACTTGCTCAAAAAGGCTCTTTATGGCCTCAAACAAGCACCTAGAACTTGGTATAGCAGGATAGATGAATGTTTGTTGAGTTTAGGCTTTAAAAAAAGCTTATTTGAGGTCACTCTTTACGTAAGTAGAAGGAAAATGATATTCTTATTATGTCTCTTTATGTTGATGATCTTTTTGTAACAAGAAATAATGCATGACTTGCTGAGGATTTCAAATAAAAAATAATGCAGGTTTTTAAATTGACAGATCTTGATCTTATGACTTACTTTCTTGGGATAGAGGTTAAACAAAGTCAAAATCAAGTGTTCATCTATTAGAAGAAGTATGCAAAGGAAATACTGAAGAAATTTCAAATGGAGTGTAAGGCAACAAGCACACCAATGGTGCTAATAAAATTGATAAAATTTATTATAGAAGTTTGATTGGTTGCTTAATGTATCTTACAACAACAAGGCCAAACATTTTATTTGTTGTAATTCTGTTATCTTGATTTATGCATTGTGCTATCGAAATGCAATTAAGAGCAGCAAAAAGAATATTAAGATAATTAAAAGTACTGACAATTATGGTGTCAAGTTTGAGAAGTGTCAAAACTTCAAGTTATGTGGATTCTCATATAGTGATTGGGCTTGGTCTGTTGATAACATGAAAAATACCTCAAGGTACTATTTTACCGTAGGTTCAAGAGTTTTCTTATGATACTCAAAGAAGTAAGAGATTATAGCACAATCCACTACAGAGGCAGAATTTATTGCAACAATAGCTGCAAGAAACCAAGCTTTATGATTAAAGAAAATTATATCTAATCTACACATGGAGCAAAAGAACAACATTGAGATTTTTGGTGACAATCAGGCAACAATTTTAATTTCTTACAATCCAATATTTTATGGAAAAACTAAATATTTCAATGTCAAACTCTACTTCTTGAGGGAGGTGTAATAAAATAGAGAAATAACATTAATTTACTACAAGTCTAAAGATCAACTAGCAGATTTGTTTACGAAATCACTTCCAGTCAGCAAGTTCAAGCTTCTAGGCAACAACTTGGAGTTTATGGTTTCTAAAACAAGGATGAGTGTTAAATATTATTTTAGAACTGCAAATAAAGTAGTTTTTCTTAGTTTTTAGGAGTTTATTATTTTTTGAATTTATCAGGTGTAGTTATGGCTTATTTTTAGGATCAAAACTTAGTGCTTAGTTAATTTACAAATCTATATAATGTAGGTTTTTTCCTTTGTTGTTGTATTCTAGTAATATCACTCTTTCAAATCTCATATTTTCTCTATTTTTTTCATCTCTTAAAGCCTTCAGTAACCATCACAATTAGAAGGACTATTAAGATTAACACAATGAATAGTCTAGAAGGAAAATTTAGGTTTATTCTAAGGTCATATTAAAGGAAAAATATAGTAGCCAAAAATATGTAGATAAATCAAATAGTTCATAAAGTGTGATGGAGTGATATATTAACAAAAATCCAAGACAAAAGCATGTTAATAAGTTTTACAGCATGCATAGTGAAAAACTACCAAAGGCAAAGTAGTTAATGAGACATGAGCGAGAAGAGTAAGTTTATTAAATGTCAATGACATGATGAAGTTTTTCTCTTGAAATTATCATTATGCTTATGTGTATCTAGACAGGTAAAATTAGGACGGAATGTTATTTTTAATAAAGAAATAATGACATGATGAAGTTTTTCTCTTGAAATTATCATTATGCTTATGTGTATCTAGACAGGTAAAATTAGGACGGAATGTTATTTTTAATAAAGAAATTAGTGAACTTTTCAAATTCTTGACCATTGTAATCTGTTTGTAATTGTAAAAATTTAATATTGAATTATCTTTCAATAAGAGTAAGGAATCTTTGAGATACGAAGAAAATATTAATTTATTTTTAAGAAATTAATACCAAGTCCAATGTAAAAAACCTTATCAATGGAGAGTAGTTAATGCTTACGGCTAGAATTGGAGTTTTAAGGCTCATGTAGTGACCACTGAAACTTGCAAGCTTCATATGACTAAAGAGTAGTTTGCAGACCATAGACAAGAGAAAGAGTTATTTTCCATTGTTATTTTATACATTTTACTAGATCTTATTTCAAATGTTCGTGTCTCAATAAAAATACAATTTGCTTTGGGTAATTTATATGATTTATTGTTAGTAAATTCTTTTATTTTAAATAGTTAATTTTTTAGTGTATAAATGAAACATATGATCATGCATTAGTTGTATACCTAACATGAAAGTTTCACAAAAAATACATATCGATTATTACTACTTTTTACTACTGATTGAACTACAATTTTTTAATAGTACTACAATGCTTCTTTGTTCATACTTTTTTAAAATATTTGTATATAGTTTATATTTATATCTATATATATGAATTTTTATAGGTGGTAGAAGACGGTTTTGTATGCGTGTGTGTAGCACAAATATTAGCCCTAGATTACGTTATATAGATGGAACATGGATAGAATAAGGCAACATCCAAAAAATATATATATAATATATAATGGTAGATGATGTGGAGTTAAAATGATATATAGTTAGTTAAATGAAAGATCTTGCGTTAATGATGATTAGGTTCTTAATTATTTACTGAGAAAAATTGTCACACCTGCCCTATAAAAGCAGCATACAGCTACCCCCATTACCCTCATCAGCATATTTTCTTCGCCAACATTTTTCTTCCTCTTCCTCTCTCTCTCTCTCTCTCTCTCTCTCTCTCTCTCTCTCTCTCTCTCTCTCTCTCTCTCTCTCTCTCTCTCTCTCCCTCTCTCTCTCACAAAAGAAAAAGAAAAAGAAGAAGAAAATTATGGAGAAAAAGCCATGCAACTCTCAGCAAGCTGAAGTGAGAAAGGGGCCATGGACAATGGAAGAAGACTTGATTCTCATCAACTATATTGCCAACCACGGTGAAGGTGTATGGAACTCTCTTGCTAAATCTGCAGGTAAACCCCTTTAATCAACCTTACTACACAATTCATGCAAACATATTTATCTATATATATATATGTATATATACAGATATACTTCTTGTTGGTTTGTAATTAACCCTAGTAGTGAAAATAATATATACATATATACCTATTAATATATGCCTTTTCTTGGATTGTAACGTGTGTGCGGTTGTGATTTACCCTTTGGTGGAATTTACATATTCTCTCAATTTTGATAAAGGTTATCTTTCTTTTAGAAAAAGAAAATAATATATGTATATGATGGTAGGTTTAAAACGTACCGGAAAGAGTTGCCGGTTGCGGTGGCTAAACTACTTGCGCCCGGATGTCCGACGAGGAAATATAACACCAGAAGAGCAGCTGTTGATCATGGAACTCCATGCTAAGTGGGGAAACAGGTCAGTTATACATATATATATATATGCATGTAATTTATAATATATGTATGCATTGGTATACTATTTCAATGAGTCAGTACCCGAGCTATTATAACAAAGAACACAACTATTTGTTTTTTGAAGTATTTGGTTTACGTATACAGTCCTTTGAGGCCCTATTTTTAAAGGCAAATAAGTGAAGAATTTGCAACGTAGGGTTTTAGTCATTCATACATATATATATATATATATATATATATGCATCTAATTTGCAACGTGGGGTTTTGGTCATTCATGGACGTGAAATTGATTTCGAAACACATGGCTTTTTATCAAGTTGTGGCTATCAAAATTCTTCCCCAAATTAATTTCTTCATTTTTTCATGGCTACTAAAAATCCCCCTTTTTTTTTTACTTTTTTTCCCTTTTCTGTTTCCAATACTAATGTGATTATGTACGTCTATGTATAAATATTAAAAAAGGTCTTTTGGAGCTCCTCACTTTTTTTTGGTAATATGGAGCTCCTCACTTGAGATATATATATATATTATATGCACATTTCTTGATTTTCATCAATTTCTTTGTAAATTAAAAAGCATTAGTTGCGCATATTACATATTAGATTTATTTATTTTTGTTATTCCTACAGGGTGTTATAGGAATTATCTTCAATTAATATTATTCTAAAAAAATATAACGTGAATTTCTTTTAAAAGAAAATTAAGGAGTATGGTTAAAGCTAAATTAGTTGCATAAGATGCATGAAGATGAATATAGAAAGGATGAACGTTAAATTGTTTAAATTTTTATTCAGTTATTTTTTTATAATTGAACAATTCATATTTGAGAGAAGAAAAATCTATTTTCTTATAAAATCTTCTCTTTCTTTTGTGGAATTTGACTTTGTACAACTGTATGGTAGTGACTTATTATTGCTATACTAATAAAGTCTTCTCTTACACTTTAAAAGAAAAACAATTCATTTTGAGCAAATTAATTATAAAATTTTTACAAATTGAAATATTTCTCTGAAGGGTTTCTTTCTCTCTCTCTTTCTAGATACTGTAAACGCCAAATTTACCTAACATTTATATAGAGGTATATATCTATAGCTATTGAAAGGGACCAAGTGGACAACAATATTCCATTTTGAGGTGAATCCATTCCGGATATTCACATGCACAAGTACTCTACCTTTGATAATTAAGTCCTTAGCTTTCTTTGAAATAGACTTAAACCTTATTGTTTTGGCTCTTCAAGACATGGTCGGTCCCTTATAAAAACTTATCAGACTATGATTGATCATCATGAATTTAAGTCAAAGGAAAAATAACCAACAATATATCATATTAATAATTGTTTATTTACTTTCAACTTCTAATATATATACACACACACACATAGAACCAGATTACAAGTCCTGAAAACTGAAAACATGGAGGAATATTATCTATAATTCATGTATGAATCTTCTTCAATAATATGTAAAAACCCGTGCAATAATAATAACATTCATCATCAAACATATAGGTGGTGTATGTACACATACACACATGTAGATTTTAAACATATATCAAATTATGGAGGCGATAGTTGTAAGAAATAAATCAGCATGATTTGATGAGAACTTGGTTGTATTTTCTCCCCATATGATCTCAAAGTAAGACAGCCTTAATATATGTGCAATTATATGATGTGATATTTAGGATTCGAGCGAGATGCATAAAGGTAGGGACATGACTTGATCAGATATACAATTACGTCGAATATATATATATACACATATATAGCTCGAGAGTCTTTCCATTTTGAGGAATTTTGTTCCTATGTCTTCTTATCAGCTATATAAAAAATGAAATAGGACTTTGGCTAATTTTCACCATTGAACATGGCCTCAAGCAACTCATATTACTATAGGGAGGAGGGTAGACAATATATGCATATATATATATTCAAAAAGCTACACTATATTTTTCTACCCAAGAAATTTTTTTCTTTAAAGGAAAAATACCCTCAAGTTTTATAAATTAATCATGTTGATGTAATTCGAATTTCACTGAATTTTGATAAAATATTATATTGTCAAAATTTTATTTTATAGAAAGAATCTTATTTAAGTAACAGAATGATATTTTATAATTAATAAAAAATTTTTGTCAAGTCTAATTAAAGAGAGGTATAAGAAAATTTTTGTACACTATCATAAAAAAATAATTGATCATATATATGATAAAGTAATGTTTTAAAAATAACTATTAATTTCTATTTCAGGTGGTCAAAAATTGCAAAGCATCTACCGGGAAGGACAGATAACGAGATAAAGAATTATTGGAGAACTAGAATCCAGAAACACATTAAGCAAGCAGAAAATTTCTCAGCACAAAACTCTGATCAGGTAAATGAACAAGCCAGTTCAGCAAGTCAAGTTTCTGGCACAGTTGAAACAATGGAAACTTATTCACCTCCTTCATATCAACCAAGCATGGAAGCTTTTCCACCAGTACTACCTTTACCTTCTGAATCAAATGAAAACTACTGGAGTATAGAGGATCTTTGGTCCATGCATCTACTTAATGGTGATTAACTAAGTTTATTATACATTATTTATGGTCCAAATTCTACTTTGGTCCAATATTTATTACATTTGTCAATATATATATATAGATATATATCTACTTTAGGAACTAATTATTACGTACCTTCCATATGTTAATGTCATGATAATTATATTCTACTTAATTAGCAAGCTTTGTAATAGATATCCTATGTTTACCACCACATAAAATATATATATATATAAATAGTAAATGGAGAACTAGCTTTTCATAGATATCTACTTCAAGCTGAGTAAACAAGGCACTTCATCGTTTTCCATGAATATCATTTTGTTAAAACAAACAATATTGAAGGTAAGAATATTTGGTGGCTACATAAGACATAAAAGTGTTGTCGCCTGCTAATTATTATATTTGAGAATTTCTGGAAGATATTCCTGACGTTTTTGGATTCTATATTTTTTTAAAATGATTAATTTATGCTTTCAAGTCAAAAGCTGCTTTGTCTACTTAATTAGTTAGTGTCTTAATCCCTATGTGTTACTTTCTGCCATATGTTTTTTATCCTATATATGTAAGTACTAGTAAATATTGTTGTATTACTTAGTTGATCTAATTTCTAGTTTTAGTTAGCTAGCAGATATACATATATATATATATATATATATATATATACACACACATAGGAGTTGTAAAAGAGATCTATTTAGCCATTATTTATGAATGTATGTTTATGTATATGCAAATTATAATGTATAGCTACTGATCAGGGCTTTCATGGGTTATGTATATAAATAATTTGTTATGAACTTCAACTTACTTCGGAGGAGAAAATTGAAGGAGCTATATACGTATATATTTGTATATATAGACATTTAGATATGTGTATGAGATGATATGTGTGACAAAAGCAAATTACATAGAAGTTTTAAATGCATATAGTCATACACAATACGTAAATAGCACAATCACAAATGAAGACGCAATCGTGTAGATATGTCATATATAAATATATAGATTGAAAAAGTGGTTATTCTTAGGATATTTCATCTTTGCTTTTATTAGATATCCATTTTTGTGCATGGCCATGCAAATTTGAAACTCGACGTGAGCCTAACTCTTGCAGTGTCCGCAAGGAAGTCCTCACATGCTCCGCTACATTAATTAGTACACTATTAATTAATCTTCTTTATTCTTCTTTGCTCTCCTCCACTTCATTATTATTTTCCTTAATCCTGAGTAATCTTAATAAGATGTCAATCGTTATTTAATTTAATAATTAATATGTTTATTATTATAAAAAAATTTATAAATTTGAATTCAATTATTTTCTATGTATATTTTTATTTAAAATTATTTATGTAATATTATTATTAGAATTTGTAAATTATCTGAATTGATAAATATATGAATTATTTATTAAAAAAATTATTAACAATGTATGTTGTGTCTGTTAAATCTGATTTTAACCCAAAAATAGTTTTTAAAAAAATTATATAGCACATATGTAAACTAGTATTTTCATACTTTTTCATTTTAAATTAGTTTCTTCATTAAAAAAAAATGACAGAACTATATTCAACTTTTATGAGTTAAAATTAGATCTGATATTATCTTAGATTCTAACAAAAAATTATAATGTATTAAAAGAATTGTTTAACAAAATATATAAATTACTATAAATCATCATAGCCGATGAAAGTGGATTTATATTCTTTAATATTTTTTTATAAATATATGTATGTAATGAGTTAGGTACTGTGTGTGTATATATTGATGGTGATCATGTGGATTGGTAGAGGAGTAAAGAAAATTCATGTAAAGAGTTACAATTTAGCAGCCAACTTTTATTCAAATAAAGAACTGAGAAGAAACTCCAAGCTTGAGTTGCTGTGATTTTTGCAGTGCCTCATAACGGGAAAAGTTAAATAAAGACAATTGGTTGTGGGCTTTCATTGTTTGCCATATTGTATCAGATGCTTATATATATATATAGAGAGAGAGAGAGAGAGATTGAAGCTTATGGTTCATCATATAAATACACTTTGTCCCTCAGCCGCACCTTTATTTTGTCACGTGTTTAATGTGCCAAAATTTTCACTTACTAATAACTTTCATGTGAAAGCTAAGCCAAAATCACATGGTGGGTCGGCCATTATTAATATAATGCCAATATAAAATAAATGCCTATCTCTATATATGTAAGCCTCTCTCTTTTATCACAAAAAAAATTGGTTAGTTTACAGAATTCCACCATGTTATATATTGTATAATATATAATATATCTAAAAAAAATTCGGGATTGTTTAAAATGAGATAAAAATATTTTATTTCAATAATAAAATTTTTATTTGTTTTTTCACCACTCCATATATTAGTTATGTCTAAAATACTATAATAATGTAGTACTGAAAACATGAAAAACTAGATGACAGATAATTCTTGATAGGAAAAAGGTTTTTTTTTTTTTTTTGTATAGGCCATTGCATACATATATATATATATATATACACGTGTGTTTTCTTTTTTGCGGTCTTTTTACACTGCCAATGATATAACTTCCGTAGCCGAAGAATATTTCTATACTATTTTTTAAATAAGGTAAATCAAAGAGAACAAACTGTTAAATAATTTATAAGGTACATTTTTTCTAGATCAAATTTAATAAGTTAATGTTTTTTAATAATAAAATAAATTTCAATAAATATGCGAATATCTCGTCTGTAGCACCTCGAAATCTTTGTATTTAACGAGTATCGAACTCCGTTAATTGGGTCTCATGATCATTTAAAGTTTTATTAGTATTTAAAATTATTGATATTTTTTGCTTTATGTTAACTTAAATAATTTTTATTTATTTTTATTGTTTTCTAAAATTATTTTCGAACTAATAATATTTTCAGGAAAAACGTTGGAAATTGGCAAAGCAGAAAGCGAAAAATCCCCGCATCTTGCCTGAGCAGAGCTGCACGAAAAATCCTCACATCCCCCGTCAGCAGAGCCACGTGTGCACACTACAAATGCACTAGGTGCGGCAGGCAGCCTGTGGGCACACACAGCACACTGAAGCCTGTTGTCAGCCGCGTGTTGGCGGGACAACAACTGCCTTGAGTTGTCGGCCATGCTTGGCCATGTCGAGTGGGCCCCACCCTTCTACCCACTTCTCCACATGTTTTCACATATGCTCACCACTTGTCACGCATCCGAAAGCCCCCAAAAATCTATTTTAAGGCTTCCTTTCCCTTTCTTTCACACTTCACTTTCTTTTCCATTTTCCACTTCATTTAACACTTCATCTTTCCCTTTATTTTTCACTTCCTTTGACACTTCATTTTCTCCTTCCATTTTTAACTTCCTAAATATAAAAACTTTGAGAGAGAAAGAAGGAATTTTAAAGAAAAAACTAGGCAAGAAAAAGAAGATAAAGTTGAAATCTTAAGAGCTTATTCAAGAATCTCCAAAAGTCTTTTTCTCCATTCTCTAAAAACTTATTTGACTTCGATTTCAATAAGAGATTCTTTGGTATTTATTCTTACATTTCTAAGAGCCTTTTTTTAACTAAATTAATTTAGAATATCTATGATTTTGATGCATGGACTTATGTGTTTGTTTGGTGGCTAATTGTTTAAATATGATTATGTGAGGTATGATACATGATAGTTGTACCATATGACTATGATGCATGAATTTCTACAAGGATTGATGCTTGTTTTGAGCATGATGGTTAATGCATAAGTCTCTCTAGTGTTTGATCATTATTTAACCATGAAATATTGAATATGATGCATGAAGATATGATTGAAAAATTGCATGCAGGTATGCCCCTTCACTTTACCTTGGTAATGGCAAAGAGGATTATTCTAGTGGGCCTTGACTCAAGAGGATGACTTGAAGGTCAAGACCTGGTAAATGGGCCTTTAGACTAAATACGTGAAATGATCCTTTGGGATGGACATGTGAAAAAGAGTACTTCGAGTAGATGTGGAATCCTTATCGAGTTCGAAAGTGGTTACATTGAACATGTAATATGCATATGAAAAGAATATGAAAATTGTTGGGAACATGAAATAAAAAAGTAAAAAGAATGGAAAATATGTTCGGCTATTATCTCTGAGTGGTTTATATTTCTCCCTACTCTAAAAAAGTGTTGGTGAACTGCTCCCTGTGATGATTAGCAGTCCCTCTGACGAGAGAGGATATGGGTTAGGTACATTACTGTGGCAACGTACGACCGTGGTTATAGTTTAAGTGGAGAAATGATACTGCTCTGAGAAAGGGTCAATGATCCACAACGATAGCCGGGAATCCCCTCTACCTTCAGTGGATATATGTTGAAATGGTTTTGCGCGAAAGTTGGTAAAAGACTTAATAAAACATATATATGATTGAGAATATTATTTGAAACTTTATGACAATTTATATGATGGTTCTTTTATTTACTGAGTATGTTGTTTTATTTGGTCTCCATTGGATATTTGATACGTCCGCTCATGCCAAAGGTGACATACGATCTCTATTTCAATATTTATTTTTATGATGTCATTAGTTTGGTTATATGACTGTTTCACCATATTTCCTTAATAAAGAAAAAGAGTTTTTTTTAATAATTAAAAGTATTCACCCCACGACGGTTCATCGAGATAAGAGGTATATAAAGTATTATCCAAGATTGTTTACCTTTTAAACCTTAACCATGTAGTTTTAAATAATGTCTCCCTTACTAAGTTTACATAGAACTAACCCTTAATATGTGCTCCCCAAATATCGTGAAAGTTGAGGATCGGCTCTCTGAGTTATCTTGAAATTTGATTAGAACCATTCACGAATCCTTGGTAATTCTCTAAGATATAGTTTGAGTGCAATAGTTTAATTTGCATTCTAAGGTAAAATCCTATAAGAGCTCTACCTTTTGTATTTACTACTTAGAATTGCCAATTTATAGCCTTTAATGTAAGTTTTAATCTTAGTTTACTTTATAAGGGATTTCTATCTTCTGCTTTAATGTTAAATAATATTTTTGCACTCACAA